AGAAATTTGTAAACTATGACAGTGTGTTTTATTTAAATATTTTCTTCTTTATATATTTAAATTTTATCTATTTCTTAATTATTATTTTTATTATCTTATTCTATTTTTATATCTTTTTTATTATCTATTTCTTATTAACTTTATTATTCTATGTTTTATTTTTATTTCTTATTTTAATAAATTTAAATTAAAAAAAAAGAAAAAGAATTATGATAAAGTAAAATAAATAAATAAAAATTATAAATAAATAAAGAAAAATAAATAATAGAAAATAAATAATATAAATAAAAAAATTATAATAAGTTTTATAATAATAAATAAAATAAATAAATAAATTAAAATAAATATCTCAAAGAATGAAAATTATAAATAATTTTATTTATAAATATAAAATTATAATAATAATAAATATAAAATTAATAAATCTTTATAAATTTATTAAAATTTTAATAAAATAATAATAATTACTATTTTAATTCATTTAAATAATATAACAATGTATTTACAAATAAAATAAATTTAAATTTAAGTATTTTTCATGGTCACGAAATTATGCATTTTATTCGTATTCATTATTATATTATTATATTGATTTGTGATGTTGTTAATTATTTCATAATTGATGTCTAAATGTAATGAATGTTATCATTGTTTGTTTAAAACATGGTGTTTATGTTTGTTAGATCATTGAAATGAATTATCATGTTGCAAATTAATTCTTGTTAAATGATTAAAAGGTAAAAAAAAATAGTAGAAAATATTATTAGATGAAAATATTTGTGATTAAATATGAGAAGAATATATTTGTACATTATTAGTTATATCTTTCTAATTCGATTTCTGTATTAAATGAATATATCTGTTGATGAAATTGAAATAAAATAAATATAAAATGAAAATGATAAAAGAAAGAATAAAGAAAATAATAAGAAAATAAATATAATGATTAATGATAAAATGGATGAGTTATTATCATGAATGAAAGTTGAAGATGAACATTAAATTCATTATTATTATTTATAAATGTTTAATTTATAATACATATTAAATAGTCATTCTTCATTCTGTATTATTGTGTTGATGTTTAAATTATTCAATTTGTTATTATCATATCATCATTTCATTGACACTTCTTATTTATTATCTTTTTATTTGTTTCATCATTTATCTCTTGTTTGATATGATAATATAAATAATTTACATTGTATATTATCATCATTCATCATTGATAATCATCTATGATATAATTCAATTTTCATATCAATAATTATATCATTTAAATAAATAAATAATAACATTTGTTAACATATCATTATGACATCTCATCAGTATGATAAATAAAATGTAACATATTTACTCATTAATAACAATACGATGGATATTCATATTTATATAATCATTGTTATTCATAACTAACATTATAAATTTGAATTAACATAATGTTCTTCTTTATTACATTTCATAATGATATTTTCACATTAAAATAGAATTGATGGTAAATGAAATAAAGAATAATATAAAATGAACACAATTATGAATGAATATACTCAACAAGTCAAGACACATCATACTGGCTACGAAAAAAAGCAAATAAGAGAAAGAATGAAGAGAAAGAATGATATAAAAGAAAAAAGTGAAATTAAGAAGTAGAAGATGATGAAAAGAATAAAAGTAGAATGTTGAGATTATAAAATAAAAGAAGATAAAAATGAATATTTTAAAATGAGATAATAAAAGATGAAAAGAATGATGAAATAATGGATGTATGTTTTATTATAGAAATTAGAAATATGCAATAAAAAAAAAAGGAATTTATTGATGCAAATTATTTAACATTATTTTATTTATGCAATTTATTTATCTTTTAT